ACAGAAAATGAGCACTGAACAACACAGGGCTTAGTTATGACAGAGAAAGCCGAAAATTAGGGCTAGGTAAATGCTCATTCTGCTATATATATATATGCCAAGTCAGCAGAAGGGGGGCAAAAATAAGATCTTCCCAATGTAACATTATAAAGAATCCACCATCATTTCCTAAAATGGAATCTGACAAGTTAGCACTAAATCATCTGGAGCAAAACTAAACATGCATAAAAAGCTTTCATATATTTGGAGAGTCTCTCTAATATGTCAGAATGTTGTGTTTAATATTTAAAAAGAAGGAACTGTACCATGATTTCACTACTACTAGTGCTACTCATGTATTTGCTGCCAGGCATTATAGTAGGAATGTTATGTTACCGTATTTAATTTAGTTTCTTTATAACCCTGTAATTTAGCTGCTTTTGAGAGCTTTTTTTTTTTAAAGAAGGAATACATTTTAAGAAAAACTTTTTTCTTTTCTGAAGAAAAAAATAATCATTTTTTTTAAAAGAAAAAAAGTACCATCTTTCAAGTGTTCATCTGTCCTCTTAACTTTAACTATATCTCAGCATCCTATAGTCTCTCACCAGAGTGTTCCCACCATGAAGGTCCTTATCTGGCAAAGGGCCTCAGCGCCAAGTCACCTGGACAGAATTTGATACACTTAAAACTGAATAAACCACTTAGAAACGATCCAGTAGTAGCCAACAGACTCTGAGCTGACAAGCTGCTGTTCGTGCGAATGTCAGTCTTCCTGTTAGGGAGCTAGAGTCTGGTTTCCCATGACTGAGCAAGAAGGAAGAGTGGCATACAGATAATATTGCCTCACTTCCTTGGGTACCATTGTCTCTTCAACACTTTATATCAAAATATGCAAAATTGTTTTAGAAGTATAGATGTGAGAGGAAGTCTATTTTGCAGAACGTTTTTTCTGGATAAATTAATGGTAGTTGTGCACCCTATCCTTCGTTAGTGTAGGAATAAGTCATATGAAACATAACTATATTGCAAACCCATGTGGAAACTCCAGGCTATGGGGGAGGGGCAGAGCTCTATTGGCCCACAGAAGAGCTACAGTCAATGGTAAGCTGTAATCAATAATTATGTGTATCATAGCAAACAGCAACCTTTTCCTAGAGATCACATAGTAGCAAGAATTTAAAGGAGAAGCAAATTTATGCTTATGTAGTCCTTTGGGGTAAAAGGTATCTCAAAGCTGAATGTTCCTACCAGGAAAGAGGAAACAAGGTGATCCCATGCCCTGCTGCACTGAGACAGGCCACACTATGCTGCTTTTAACCGCTTTTTCTTTGTACTCTTAAGGATCCCTGGTGGCAGGGTAGGTTAGACAGTCACCTGCCAACAACAAGATCTGTGTTTTAAATCCACCAGCCTCTCCAGAGAAGAAAGGCCGGGCTGTTGACTCCCATAAAGGTTTACAGTCTCAGAAACCCTGTACAGGCTTGTTATGAGTTGGAATCAACTGGGTGGCAGTGGGTTTGGTTTCTTGTCATTGTTGTTTCATTTCTTGGATACTCTTCTCTGGGAGGAGAGTGAAATAACATTAGTTTCATAACATTAACATATGGTGTAAGCATAGTGATCACTGTATCATGGGTGTTCAAATACATTCATTTCCTATGATGTCAACAATGATCACAATGTCAACATTCATGCAGGACTTCTCAAAAAAAAAAAAAAGATCACTGTCATAGGGTTGATTCCAACTCATAGCAACCCTGTAGGACAGGGTAGAAATACCCCTGTGGGTTTCTGAGCCTGTAACTCTTTATGGAAGTAGGAAGCCTCATCTTTTACTCCAGGAGCAGCTTGTGATTTCAAACTGCTGAACTTGCAGTTAGCAGCCAAACTAGTAACCGCTATGCCACCAGGGATCCTCATGTCATAGCAAACTAGATGAGTATTAGAGAATCACTCACTGTACTGTAAGTTATGCTGCCACTGATGTGTTCTGGACTATTTAAAACCATCTCTTTTTAAACTATTTAAAATAAGTGAGACTTTTTTTAGACTGTACAGGATGATGAGAAATAATTGTACACCATATAATCTCACATATTCTCAGATCTATAGTTACAGCAGTTTTTTATAGGTAATTTTTTCTGCATGTTCAAAAGAATCCTTAATAATGCATTTAAAACAAAAAAAGTCACTACCAAGCCTCTGGATGATTAACTACCCTATGGTATTTCTTTCATCCACGCTGGTTTATAAAGGAAAGCAAAAACGACAATAAAAGAAATGTACCAGTTTTATTCAGTACTAATAAAGTATTGAACGTTAGTGGGGAAGGTATGAAGTCTCAGAATGCAACACAGAGCAATTCCATTACCCAGGCAGCTTTGGGCCATATATCGTCTATCAAGAGTAATTACTTCATTGGTTGGAGCCCACAGTGAAGGAATATAGAGTTTGATGAGATTTTAAAATAAAGATTACATTCCAAAGCATTTGCTTTTCCAAACTTTGTGGACATGACACGATCATATGGTATAATTTGGTGACTGATTGAGAGGCTGGGACACAGGCAAAACAAAAACCAAACTAAAGAAAATTAAGAGAAAGCAAGATTTTTAGAAACTCTTTAATCATCTTATACTTGCACTTGAATTTAGAAGTATGAAAAAAGTGCACATGCAGATGCCTTTAAAAACACATCTTAGTGAAAAACTGATAGTCTGCTCTGTAAGCCCTCTAGCTTTTAGGCTCACTGTACAGCGAAAGCCTTCATCATAAAACCTTCACCTAATTCACAAGAAGTTTTTTAAAAACCCACACATCCCATTGATGAGTCTCTAGATGAATATCTGCATACTGCATTTTTAATATGAGACCTGGTGGTTTCTAACACTTCTTTCACGTCCCACCTTGGAATCAAAGTTTCTGGATTTTGTTCTCCTGCTTCAGATGTTAGCTGGAGGATGCGCCTCAGAGCTGCAGCGTGGCATCTCGGACACCAGCTCTGAAACACTGCCCTTTGCAGTTTCTTTCACTGCTTTTAGAAAGTGCTTTCCTTTCCTCGGTCAGTAAATTACCAGGGCTTTTTTTTTTTTAAAGTTTTCAATTGTTAATCTAGAATATTTGGGGCTTTGTTATTTGAGGTAGGAGCTAACATAATTTTCTTCAAATAGGCAAAAATGGCTCTATAACATAAAATAATACCTCCTTTTTATAGTGGAGTGCCCATATCAGGTAATTGTTTTAATAATGATTTTAAATATCTAGTATAATAAATCCCTCCTTAATATTTCTCTTTTGTAAAAATACCTTGGCTGTAGTTGCCCATTTATTCTTTCAAACAAAATTTTAGAAGCATTTTATCAAATTCTCTCTACATCAAACACATTAGCATTTGTCTGAAATGGTGTCAAATCTGTATGTTCAATGGGGAAAATACGTTTTTTATCACATTCAGTGTCCCAACACAGAAACATGGTATCTGTATCTTCCTCATACAGATCTTACACACTTCTTGTTAAGGTGATGCCTAAGTTTTTACATATTATATTGGTATTGTGCAAAAAACATGTTTTCCATCATAGTTTCTAACTGGTACAATGTTATTCTCATTGGACTTTCACTGTATAATTAGCACATTTCAGCTGCAGTTTGAACTAGTCTATGTGTAGAAAAGATATCTATTATGTCCATTTTACTTCATAGGTATGAGTGAACTTAGCTAGTGCCCAAGAGAAGTGAATATTAATAGCCCAGACTAATTCTGTCGCTTTGAAAGGAGCTGCAAGAAGCCACGTGTAACTTATTTTATTCTAAAGTATATGGTTGCCTAGTGTCATTAATGCCCTTTTACTAAAGAGAGAGAAAAGATAAGAAACCGATGTGCCTTTGTATATACTATAGGAGTCATAGTGGTAGAGGTGGTGGGTAAGGGTTGGACTGCTGATCGCAAGGTGGAGGTTCAAATCCACCCCCTGCTCTGTGGAAGAAAGATGAGACTCTCTCCTCCTTAAATATTTACAGCTTAGTCATTATGAGCCTGAATCCCCTCATTGACAGGGTTTTGTTTGGACTTTTTTCTTAACTGGGATGGCAAGTGAAGGATGAATTTTGTAGATAATGGGGACCCTGCATAGCTTTTTGTCCCTCATGCTTTCACGGAGAAGCTGTGTGCATCTCCACTACCTCATTGACTGATAATACGTTTTGGCAGAGGCCAGATGAATACATTTCAGAAGGCCTCCCCAGTGAGTTAAATTTTAAAAGGAGCCTTTAAGCAACTGGAATCGATGCTGAAGATGGAGTTATAAAGCTGGCTGCCACATCCTTGGTCCCAGAGTGCCCTGCTGCCCATGAGGCTGCACACACACCCGTCACTGGCTTGCCCTCGGTGTCTGGGGTGGCAGGCTGCCATCCCCGGGCGAATGTTAACAGTGGAAAGTGCTTTAGACTCTTCTGAAATGGAAGTCAGTATGTAAATGTGCAAAAGGACGGCATTATTATTCTAGCTTCCTGGCGGCTCAGCTAGCTCTGACTGCCACACGAGGTCTCAAGTGTTCTGGCACACTGTGTAAGCGTTCAAAAGAAGTTAAAGAAATGAAACTGGATCTACATTTCCGTAGACATTCACGCTGGCATTGAGGAATGGAATCATGGGATCGGGGTTGGATGGTCACCAGACAGCCTAAGCAAGTGCCCGTGATGTCAGGCTACTAAGCAGAATTTTCAGTCATCAAAGGCCACCCCTATTTCTTCCTCTGGGTCTGAAATTACAAAGTAGGCACATCGTCCCTAGACCCACCTCCCCTGGGGTGCTTCATGCTCCATCGCCACCCACTCATGCTCTGAGGCACGCCTCCACCTTCCTGTGTAGCCTGCACTTTCATGGAATGCCAATCATCGATTGATATGCACACAAGTGATGAAGTTCACTTCAGCTAAAAGTATATCTATAGACATCCCCAAAGAATCCATGCATGGAAGAATACCTTACTTATCTGGAATCTCTCTCTATTGTGTTTCAGGACAGTGAGAAAAAGGGATTTATAAATAAAATCTATGCCATCCAGGAGGTATGTGTCAGTGTCCAGAACGTCCTGGATGAAGTGGCTTCCTTTGGCGAAAGGATAAAGAAGTGAGTGATGCTGACGTGTGGGAACCAGCCTTCTGGGGGACAGGGAGGCCATTTGTTTCTCAGAGGGTGAAATGCCACATTCTCTTTGGCAGGGGACACTCCGTCTGGGTGATGCATTGCTCTGTTTCGTCATTATTTACTTTGTTGCTGCCAGTCTTTGGTTTTATGAAAGTTCTGTCAATTTCTTTCCCGAAATTTAGAACATATTGGTTGGAAAGAAAGTCATACTTGTAGCTCTGAAGAATAACACCATCCCAAATTTTAGCACATTTTCACAGTGAAAGTCTTTGTTCTTAAGTGGAATAGGAAATCGGGGTTGAAATAATGTATTTGTATTGGAAAACACAAGCCGAATGAGTTTTTCAGGTAATCAAGCCAAATCTGTGTTGTATTACTGATCAAGTTATCTTTTTACCAGGTTATTCTAAATGTTTTTTAAAATGTATTATACACTGAACCCTGCAAAAGTGTTCTTCGGTGTTTTATAGTTGTGCATGAGACCAGGAGTCTGAGATAAAATGAACCAATAGCTTTTCACTTAGAAAATTCCCAGGATTTTCCTTACTTTTTTATAAGTTTATAAGTATAACTACATTGGGATCTAACGGAAAATTAAGAAATATACATCCCCAATCTTACACTGTGTTTTATTTCAAATAATTTCATTTACTAATACCAAAAAAGCCCTCGCTGCCATCAAGTTGATGCTACCTCGGAGCAACCCGAGACTCTAAAGAGCAACTTTTTCATTAAAAAATTAAATAGCCAAGGATCTGTCTGAACTATACGAAGACCCCATGCTACTAAAGGATGTGAAAATTGTCCTACTTCATGACCCAGTGCTGTGGCCCATTTGAGAAAGGGTGCTGTGTGTCTAGAAAAGCCTCCATCTTCCTGGTTTCCTAGATGTGTTCATTGTTTATTATTCATCACCCGAAGTGCTCGGCAGATTTGGATCCTTGGGCATACAGAGAATTTGAAAGGAGTAAATTATTTAGACTAAAGGTGTGAGTCATTCATCCGGTGCCTTTCATGTTCCACGGGATAATGCATTTTATTTTGTATAATTTTTTGTGTAATACAGTTCCACATAAGCAGAGGGACTGAGTTCCCACTTTCTTGTATCACATTAGACAGGACGTGCCTCCCTCTCGCCCCCGCATGTGCCTCTGAGCAACGTGCAGCCTCAGACTTCAGAAGGCTGGTTCCCGCATCCTCCTCTCTACCTCTCCACGTTACTTCCCTCCCTGCCCTCCTCCTGCCGGCCGCTGCAACCCGGCCTGAGCTTCTAAATCCGAGACGTTTCCCTGTTGATTTCTGTCCTTTCTTTGGCAGACTACGGTGTGTGCTGATTCCTGCCTGAAATGTCCCTTTTATACCCGGAGATTCTGGGTCAACACCAAAGTCAGGCTAGTGCGTGCCAGAGGGATGAATGGGTGGTAGGGGCCTCCAGCAGGTAGCGGCATGGGCACCCCCAGAGTGTTTTCCGTTATAACCAAATTTCGACTGTGGCTCAGACTCCGGGAGCTGGGTTTTTGTACACCCTTCCATGCGGAGGTATAGGAAGGAGCTGAGGATCCAGTCTCGTAATTTCTCTGGCACAGCCATCGGTGATGAGATAGATCCAAAGTTGCCACCAGTGGCCCCGACTCGCGGCAGCCCCTTGTGGGGCAGAGTGGAACTGCGCCACCGTGATGTCGATGGCTGTGGTTGAAGGAGAGCCAGGAGGCTTCTCTTCCAA